GGTGAATCAGAGTGTTATATTAACCCTGATCTCCACTTTTTTACACATGGAATCACACTGAATGTTAAGTCAGCTGAGGTCAAGTTTTTCACTCTCACTTTTCCTCTAAGCTCTCTGTAGGTTTCCTGTCTGCACGATTCCATCACTACAGCATAGGAAGTATCTGTAACTTGTAATTAATTGTTATGGCTATCAATATAGTGTGGATATCTATTTATAGACATTAAGGCATTATAACAAATACTTCATAGTTCACTACAGGGATGTATTGGTTATAAATTGTCTCTATGTGGACCCATCTTTACGGTGGCCCAGTAGTGCACAACACAGCGAAATCTCCACAACACAACGAAATCGCCGCAACACAACGAAATTGGCACAACACAATGGAAATGGTCCTATGCCTGCAAACAAACAGGTCTATATTTGCTACTTTTGACTAATGAGCTCCTCTTTAATAAACACGATGCTTCATCTTTTTAAGCGCTGTTAATGTTGAATGAGCTGAGGAATTTAGGGTCTAATGATCTAAAGAAATCCAATTTTGATATCCAATATATTTTTATGAACCCTTGAAGTTTCTATGGGGCAATATATTATATATCAGCCCATACCACGGCGCCGTTTCAAGTGTTATTTACATTAAGTGCAGATAGCCAGCCTTGCTGACGTATAGGCTATTTACACTAATTACGCCCACCAATGTCTGGTTGGCCACACAAAATTGAAAATGACGCACATTGCATAACAGTTGTAGTGACTTAGTAAGGCGCATAGGAGCAGCTTTTTGATGTGATCGACCCGAGTTCGAATCCGCTGTTTGTCGGACTCACGTTTCTCCCTTTTACCATCACATATCAGATCAGAAAGGCATTTATTTTCAATGAAGAAAATATTCTAAAAGTGGAAATAATGTTCATAATGAGTGTTTAATAATGAAGTATATCGGGGTTAGGGGTAGGTGTATGGAGGGCTTTTTGTCCCAATATGGTGGCATCCATTTAATAATTTTAATAAATAGAATAATTTACAGTCTACGTTACTATTGCATCCTGTTAATGTACAACAAAGCTGAGGTGCAAATAGTATTTGCCACTATTTATAAGTATAAATAGTATCTAACGACTATTTACACTTATTGCAAAGAAAATAATTAGTATAAGTAGAATCTATTGCTATTTTCACTTAGTGTAAACTGTGTACCAATAAGAAAATACTTCTGTCATCAATTAGTGTAAATGGTGTAAACAGCATCTAAAATATGCTACTTACACTTAGTCCAAATACCCGCTGCCATCTATAAGGCGTAAAACTAACATGCAAGCTTTATACTAGTAATGGACTAACGAAACCCTAATTTTGAACAATTTACTATACCAATACCATACCAATGCTTTTAACGGACTCTTGAACTTTGCACATATTATTACTGCTGAATTAATTTAAGAATGCTGTTTCTCATGGCCACGTAAACGATGCTTTAAAGCTAAAATTTGGGCTTCGTAATAGAGTTAATGGTCTAAAAATATTACTCATTTTAAAGAGCTTTTACTGCAAATGACGTTTTAAATTTGCATAGCCATATAAATGACTTGGCTAATGTTTTAAAAAATTTGGTACTTCAGTAAAATGTCCAAAATGTGCTGATTAGCTTTACGTGTTTAATTGTGTTGCGGCTTGTTTCTGTTATGTTGTGGAGATTTCGTTGTGTTGTGTACTACTGGGCCACCTTTCTATTTCAGATATATTTATTACTAACTGGTGCATAATAATCAGTCATAAGGTACCCATTCTAGTCTGGTCTCATTTTCAACTTTGTTCTTATTCTGACCATTCCATTGAAATGTAAAAATAACTGTAAGTCCTCAGGAACCCTCATAAAGTTGTTTTACATGAAGATTTCAAGGCCAATTTGCCTCACATGTAAATATGAAACTGTCCAAATCATGCATTGATTTATTTAATTGTTAAAAATTTGATTATTCATAACAAATACTATATAATTTTTTGTAATATTTCTTTCTTTTTCTTTTTTAAATCAAACAGCACAAAATGATTGCAGTCCTCTTGGAGTGTACATGTGCACTATAAATCAGAGTGCATTATGGGTATGAGTATGTAAGGGGGGTTTCCCTACAGTGGTTCAGGCTGTAGGATTGCCGAAGGACTAAAGAAATGTTAACAGCAGGATGATACAAAACTGTACACTTCTTGTCTATTACCACCCACTGCAACTTATACCAACGACGGAAATAAGCACAGTTAGAATAGTAAAATATGTGGAAGAGTGTTGCTATTGTGTGACTATATTGTATTCCAACAGGTATCACTTCAATGTTAATGATGAATCAAGACTAGTTAGCACATAATTTATAACTGATATGGTTTAATAACAGTATTTCATTATGGTTACATTTGAATTGGTTATACAATAGATGAAGGATGATAAAACAGTTAAATGTACCCAACATATATGTAAAATGTTACCTGAGAGAGAGAGAGAGAGAGAGCGAGAGAGAGCAGAGCCCCATCAAAGAAAGAGAGATCGCAAGCCAAGAAAAGAGATAGCAAAGAAAAGAAGAGCCAGAGCAACAGTTACAATCTTCTTTTATCCCTTCCTTGACCATGTGACTAAAAACCAAATGTGAGACATTCAAACTGACCAATCAGCAAATTACAGCTTTCCCCACCATGTAAAAGGTGTGACAATTAGCAGATCCCCGATGTATATGCATGTTGGTCTACAGGCCTTGATCACAATCAGCACTTTTGTGCCTTCAGGAATTCCAAATGGCCCTTTTGTTACTGAAGATAGTTTTGGGACAGCAAAGCAGAAGTCTTTGATCATTTTCAACCCTACAAGTACAGTTCAGTATATAAGGAATGAAATTGTCCACTAACAATGCTAACAATAGTGAGTGCTTTCAGAAACAGCTCGCAGAAATACATTCTGAATGGCATATACAATTAATGTGAATGTAACAGGTTTGTGAAGGGCGATGTATTATATGCTGCGCAAGGTATTCATTGAAAGTATTCCCACATATCGCTAGAGGAGTTGAAAGCCTGCAAGGCAGGCATTTAAGTGTTTAATACTACTTTTTGCAGTGTCGTTTGATTTGCATCCTATCTAGCATTTATTTAGATTAGACTTTTCATTTCAAATAGCTTTTTTTTTAATTTGTCTGTTTTGCAGATAATAACCGTTACTACGACAGTCACAAGTTACATAAAGCCTGTGTGCACCAAAAAGATTGCTGTAAATTATCAGTTTTTTTAAATGCTGTCACTTTCAAGTGTGGTTTAAGCTTTTAAAAGCTTCGACATTAAATACTCTACTACATTATATATATTGTTAATATATCTTATTATTTCTTCTCATATAGTTTCTTATTTGGTTTTGCAACAATAGATCTGTGTTTATTTCATGCAAGTACCTTCTTATAGTGCAGTTTTTAATGAAGAGGCATCACATTAGTATTTATACTTTGTTTTAAACAGTTATTTAAGAGGGGTTGGGTTTTTTTGGTTACAAATCAGTTGTACTTGAGGACTATTAAGAGTACAGATTAAGCGAGTGTACTTTTCATTTGTGCTTAAGCCTGTTTCAAGTTCAAGTTCAAGTTCAAGTTGAGCTTTATTGTCATTCTGCTGCATGTGGGGACATACAGTGGAACGAAATGTCGTGCCTCACAGGACCACGGTGTTACATAAATACAGGCATACAACAATGAAGTAAAACAGTAAAAACCTATACAGTAAAGCAGTAAAAACCTATACACAACTAACCTACTGACTGATTTTGATTATAAATATACTATATATATATATATATAAATGTTTACCTATACATAAGTTAAAAAAATACAGACTATACGGATGCTTCACATAAACACTGTACCTATACACAGCTAACCTACTGACAGATTTTGACTATGAATATACTATATATAAATGTTTACCTATGCATAAATAAAAAAAATAAAAAAAATTAAAAAATTTAAAAAAAAACCAAAAAAAAAAATACTAAAAAAACCAAATAATAATAATAAAATAAAATACAGACTATACGGATGCTTCACATAATACTGTACATGTGCAAAGAGAAACATCGTAAGTCAAGCAGCTGGCTGGGGAACAGTGCAGATGATTTGTAGTGCATGAGCATGTAAACACACCTATTACGGAGTCTTTTGTGGGATTATGTACACAAAGCAGTGTGTGTGAAAAGTGTCTAGTGCGCATAGAGGAGAGTGTGTTTCTACAGGTGGTTTGTGCAGGCCCTGTAGCACACTTCGAATTTGGTTTCCACCAAATAATTTTTTTAAAAGGTAATTTCAACTATTAATCTCACAATGATCTCTTTATTTCATGTAACTATTTCTCACAATTCTGACGTTTTTCTCTTAATTCTGAGTTTATTTCAAATTCTTTTAACAGCCACTTATGATGAAAGGATCTGTCTGTATTACAAATAAGGTCAAAACTGCGAGATGTAAACTAAGAATTCTGAGGAAAAAGTCTGAAATGCAGGTATGAAAACTCAGAATTCAGAAACTGGCTTCCATAATTTCACTTAATAGTGAGGCTGAGACAATTATAAATGGGTTATTGTAGCCAATCATACAATGCAGAGTAAAACAAACATTCTGGGCTCTAGAAACCGTTTTCAGATCAAAATTACTATTAAACAAGACATATTGAGTTGAGAGAACAGGAAATGAGAGCATCTTTTGAAATGCTGTCACTCTGTTCATCCCCAAATTTACTGAAAAGAAGAAACAATGAAAAAGTCATTAGTGTTTGCATGATAAGATGTGACTGCATGATAAGATGAGACATTGTGAGGAACTAATGAAAACACTTCAAGTTAATACTCTTCTTTTATACAAAACTTCAAAATCACTACAAAGGCACCTCATGTTTGTTTCATATCTGACACAGCTGTTTCTCCGAAGAGCTGTTAAATGTTTAAACTTGTTGTCGGTTGTCTTTTGCAGATTCAGATGTATCGTGTATCCCTTCAAACAAAAACTGACAATATCAACAGCCACCCTCATTATTGTGATAATCTGGGTCCTGGCAATGTCCATCATGTGCCCCTCTGGCGTCATGCTTCAGGTGACTAAAGAACAAACCATTCGCGTGTTCCTGGGAGATGGCAACCTAACGAGCCCTTTCTACTGGTGCAGGGAAAACTGGCCTAACCAGGAGATGAGGAAGATCTACACCACCGTCCTGTTTGCCAACATTTACCTGGCTCCTCTGTCCCTCATAGTAATCATGTATGCAAGGATTGGGATCACTCTGTTTAAAACGGCCATGCCGGCTGGGGCCAAATCTGGCCATGATAACCGTCACTCTGTGTCAAAGAAAAAACAAAGAGTGATCAAAATGCTTCTCATCGTGGCCTTGCTATTCATCTTGTCCTGGTTGCCTCTGTGGACACTGATGATGCTAACAGACTATGTTAAACTTACTGAACATCAGTACAGGCTTATTAACATCTACATCTACCCTTTTGCCCACTGGCTAGCCTTTTTCAACAGCAGCGTCAACCCGATAATCTATGGATTCTTCAATGAGAACTTTCGGCGTGGATTTCAGGCCGTGTTTAAGTTCGGCATGTGTCCTGTTGGCGGTCAGCGTCGGACCTATTCTCATAGGGTGCAGGGAAATTCTGTGCAACCGGTGAACCTGCAACCCTCCACAGAGCCCATCTCTCTTAACAGCCTGGAGAACAACAGCTCGAGGAGGATGAACCACGTCAACGAGCAAGACTTAGTGATGGAAGATTTAGAGAAAGTGTCTGAATGCAGTATGGAAGGAGCTTCTCTTTAAGGGACTTAATAGAGAGGAATGATATGATAGCAGGCTCATTATGTCTCAAATTACAGACGATTATTTACTTTTGACATTGTTGACATTATACATGTGAGTATAAAATGGATTTTACTCACGTTTATTTTGAACAGACATTTGCTGCTAGCATGAATGTACTTGCTGATGTTGTCAGACACGATTGGGCACATCTGGCAATTTAACAACTGTAGTCTTGTAAACTCTATGATCTGTAAAGATAAGTTCAGTTAAAAAAAACTGTAACATTATTGTAAATTTATGTATATACACAGGAACATCTGGGGTTTTATGATACATAATTTTATTTATTAATCTATTTCTTTTTATGTGCACGTGAAAGTATCAGAACTGTCATAATCCAGAATCGTTAATTGTTTCTGGATTACAGTCTGGGATTTTAGGCACAGCACTTACATTTTATTACTAACATTAAACATTCATACCTCATTTGTGACAGATCCCTCTAAATGCTGGAATAAATTTCAGTGGGAGGGTTTTATGGACCATAATTGTTATCTCGTGCCCAAACGGTAAAATTAGCTAGATATTATATAGAGATGACAGAGATTAATCTGATTGTTTGCTGTTGGCACAAATAGCAGAAAGTAATAGTCATAGTAACTCACACTGGCCTTTCTGCCCTGTATGCCAGCGTTGACTGACAGAGCTCTCAGCTGAATTGTTTGACATATGAGACAGAGGTAGGCTTTGTATGGATTTTAGAGATATTTGATGCACATGAGTCTGGATGTAGCACTGTGATTCACTTGCCTAAAGCTGATTTTGTTCTTCAAGCATGCTATCTCTTTAGGGTTGTTTGTGCCAAAACCATACATTTAATTATTCATTACCTTTTTTACCCTCTCTTTTTGTATGTTGATTAACACCACTTACATATGGGTTTCCTGCAGGTAGTTTTTAACTGCCCCATCCTTCAGCCTGCATTATCTTGTGAGTGCTTCACAAAACAATTTGTAGTGAAACTTAAAGTCAGACTGCAATGACTTTAAAGGGGTCATGAACTGCCGTTTTTATTATTTTGTACTGCTCTCTAAGGTCCACTTATAATCCACTTTCTTCTTCACTTATAAGGTCCACTTTCATAATGTTGGGATCAGAAGGAAGGCAATGCAAAGACTGTGTTTTTCCACAACTTGGCATTGCACAGCGTCTTGTTGACTTTGGAGCATCTTTATCTTTTGATTTCTGTGTAGACCTGCTTTTGCCTCTCTCATCATTTACACTATGTGCTTGAATCGGTGAGCGGAGCGAAACAGGCAGTGATGTTTAACCACACTATTACGTCATAAAGGGGCACATTCCACAACCTGTCGTTTTGGCAGATTGGTTTCAATATAAGCTGTTTTTAGACTAACAAGAAAGTTTTGAGTTCTGAAATTTACAGGATGTTTTTATAGTACAATGACCTCTTGTATGTCAAAAGATCAAGGGAATTTTGATTTCTCAGTTCATGACTGTAACAGTTCATAGTTCGGGGAAGGAGGCAGGAACTGGCGAACATTTAAACACAATTTAATAACAAAATAAACAAAACTGAAATACTGAAATTAGCGCGACAGCCCAGAGTGGTGCAGGTGTCGCTCATTATCATTTACTCCACCGGCCTCGCTCCGCTCCCACGGCTCTTGGCCCCACCCCACTCGTCACATAACCCCATCGCCCCTCGCAGGCCGGGGGTACTCACGAGACTGCGCTCTACTCCTCCCTGGGGGCCCCGTCACAGCGGCCGCAGCACCTGGGGGTAAGGACAGGTACTGGACATCTTTGGTGGACGGCTCGATGCTCCTCCACCTCCTGGTGGATGGTGATGGCTCCTCCGGTTGAGGGCAGCCGGTAGCAAGTCCCCCGTTCCCTGCTCCTCCCCAATCATGGAGGACGGCAGCAGGCTCCGACCTCCGGGCGAATGGCGCTGACTCCTCTGCTCCCTCTCGGACGGCAGCCACCCCTCCTCGACCCAGGAGCACGGCAGCGAGCCCTCCGTCCCACCTTGTCTTCCATCGTTTCAGCACCACCGCCTTGGGCAGCCACTGGCGGTCTCCGCTTCTTCCTGCTGCCCGATCTCCTCAGCACCGCGACCCCCCTCAGCAGCGAGTGCTCTCTGATAGCATGTCCCTCCTTCCTCCTGGGTTTCGGCACCAATGTAACAAGGTTCAAAAATCGGGAAGAAGGAGGCGGGAAAATTGGCGGGAACAATTTTAATAAACTAATGAACAAACAGAAATTGAAAGTAAAAGCGGCAGCCCCTCACGGACGACTGCAGCATAAAACATAATAGAACAACAACATAAAATCCAGGCTTGGTCCTCTCTCATCCTTCCCTGCTGTCACTCCTCCTTTTATCCTTCCGGAGCTCCTCTGTGGGACTCGAGACCGGTGAGTGGCGCAGGTGTCGCTCATCATCATTAAACTCCACTTGCCTCACTCCGTTCCCACGGCTCTCGGCCCCGCCCCACTCGTCACAATGACCCCATTTAAACTTAAGCATAAACTCTTTGTTGAGATCCTTCAGGTGGGACAGCACAAGGTTTGGGAGTGACTGTGTCTGTCTGTCCTATTTTGTACTTGTTAATTGCTTTGATTCAGCTGAACATATGTTGATGTATTCATCAGTCTGAAATCAGAAAGTTATTTTTCAATAAATATTTATTTATTATGATTTTTTAAAATAAGTATTCAAAATCTTTTCAAACTGGTAAGGTATTTCTGAAAGATTTAGTAAGACTCACTTTTTTGCATCTATACCTTATTTATATGTTACCATATATGTTTATTCCAGTTTGTTATAATGAATGAATGTCAGCAGAAATATTTTTTTTTCTCTCCCCCAAATAGAGCAAACCATTTCCATTTACCAGAATATTTTCATTCAAACTGTGGGACAGGAGTTTGTTGGATTACTTATTTGAACAATTGAAGATGTTAAAAAAAAAACAACATTCAGAAGATTTGTCCTCAAGTAATTCTAGCATCTGTTGTCGACTGTAGATTAATTCTATCAACAGTCAGAGCTGTGTTTTTGTGATTATCATAGCAGATGGGAGATGAGTATGTTAATTATGCCCTCTTCTAGACAGCAGACACTACATAAACCAATGCAATCTAAACATGATTAAGGCAGCAGCACACTGACATCACGGTAAAGTAAGATTGAAAATTAGCCAGGAGAAATTGTGTTAGAAACAGACAGAAGATGTTAAGAAAAAAAAATGCCTGTGATTACAAGGTGACTCTGACTTTATGGACTCTCCAGATGTGTCAAAAGGATTTGTCAAGGACACACTTCGTGGAGAAGTATTTATTTATATCTCTCTGTTTACTGAACATGAACATGCTATTTATGAAGAGCAGAGTATTTACTGTGGAATTGTTCATTTCTATATTTCTAATGGTGTATTAGCAAAAGCAATGCTGTAAACTTTGTCAGTATTTATGGCTTTGTGAATCTTGTTATATTAGTGTTGACTACATGCTAACAGTGAGTACAGTTGTTTCGAAATTGATTGTGACTGACTCATTTTGATTTTATAAACACCTTGCAACAAGAAGTAAAGCAATCTGTGATCAGGGTTAATTTTTTTCTCTCCGAACTGCCTGGATATGGACTAAAAATGGCCTGTCCTTCAGAGTGCTGTTTATATTGTGGAGATACCGTCCTGCTTTAGTGTATATTAATAAAGCAGTTACTGTAACTCAATTGCTTTTTAAAATAATTTTTACATCATTGCACCAGGCACACCTTCAAAGGTCCCTCATTGGTGCATCATGTAAAAATACTGTAATGTATTTTATGCTTTTTGGGTTTGAGTCGATGGCGCGACACCTGATTCTGTCACAGTTTCCTTTTCCTGAATGGAAAAAATGATGCAATTCATTCTTTATAGGTGCAAGATAACTGCCACAAGTCTCCAGACTTTTGTATGTCTTGTATACAGCGTTACAATGAAAGGTGAGATTTGTCTGTTCAAACTGCCATGTGATTCATTCACTTTCAGCTGTCTTTTCTGCTTTAACCAATGAGGGAGCAGAACTCTGCTTTTGGTAATGTAATCAAGCACTGTCCGGCCCTGGGCCTGGCTCCAGCAGGCCTCTGACGTTGCTGGAAATAGGACAATTCTGGCAATGATTCAACCTGCTGTGCTTTCAGTCCTTGATGAATGCATAGCACTGGTGCAAATCTAGTGACGTGCACAAGTACGATGTTACAAGTAGCGAGACGAAAACTGTCACAAAGAGTAAAATCACAGTGTATGAAGAGGGAGCTGGGGCGGATGATGATTTCATTCAGGTCAATGCTGGGTAACTTGAGAAATGACTCATCATACGTACTATTTTAATGTGATGTGCTAGTGATGTAGACGTGATGTGGTCACAACTCCGAGTGCCATTGAGGCAAGACATTTGTCACAATCTGGTCACTGACCTTAACTGCATGTGTAAACTTTTTCATCATGCGCTAGACGATAAAAAAAACATGTTAGCCTGAAAATATGACACTGTTGAAACAGACATCAATCATACAAAAATGTTATTGTGGCAAAGTTTTAAAACTGAGGAAAGTGAATAAATTGAAATGACTGTACTTATATTATGTTTGTTTCCAGTGATCATTGTCATTTGTCAGAGTCCAAAGTTTGAGAGTTTCAGAATGATGTAATAATATCATGTGCTCAGGGTAATAAATCAACATGAAAGGGCTTGAATACAAGTCTATTCTTCTTTTGCCTCTGTGTGTTGAGCGTCAATGATGTGATGCTTTTTTTTTTTTTTTTGTCTGGATCTTCTGCTAGGAGTATGTTTTTAATTTTTGAATTAAAATTCTGAATTTTGGGAGCATAAAGTAAAAATGTCAAGGTGAGACAACTGTTCTAAAATCATAACGGAGAGAAAAAGTCTTATTAAAAGGATGGGATTTTTAATAAAAAGATGGACAAGAAAAACAAGTTGATGTTATGGGACTAGGAGAACGGAGGACTCAAAGGTAGAGGATTAGATGCAACAGAAAGTTTATTTTCCAAAGGTAACAAAACAAATAAAACTATTACAAAAAAAACAGCGAGCCAGTCTCCGGGGTAATCCAACTTCGGTCGGCAGTGTGATGCGGACCAAACGAGTAGATAACTGCCCAAGACTAAGCGCTTGCACAAGACCAACACCCTGAGAGTTGAGTGAGGCAGAGAGCTGTAGTCCTTCTCTCTACGAGTCCTGGGGTGCAGGAAAAACAGAGGTGAGTGCAACACCAGAGAACAGAACAAAACAACCAGAGCACAGGACAACACATCGAACACAAACCAATCTACTCACAACAAGGACTAGACAGAAGAGAAATATAAAGGAAAGGGTAATAAGCGACAGGTGGAGTAGAAAACAGAAAGTTTATTTCCCAAAGGTAACAAAACAAATAAAACTATTACAAAAAAAACAGCGAGCCAGTCTCCGGGGTAATCCAACTTCGGTCGGCAGTGTGATGCGGACCAAACGAGTAGATAACTGCCCAAGACTAAGCGCTTGCACAAGACCAACACCCTGAGAGTTGAGTGAGGCAGAGAGCTGTAGTCCTTCTCTCTACGAGTCCTGGGGTGCAGGAAAAACAGAGGTGAGTGCAACACCAGAGAACAGAACAAAACAACCAGAGCACAGGACAACACATCGAACACAAACCAATCTACTCACAACAAGGGCTAGACAGAAGAGAAATATAAAGGAAAGGGTAATAAGCGACAGGTGGAGTAGAAGCAGCTCATGATCAACACAGCCCCACCACCAGATCAGCACTGATTGCACCGGTCACGAGCCGCCGAAAAAGACATGACAACATAGACAGCAGAGGGAGCCAGGAAGGCACCCTGACCCGTGACAGTTTGGCACAATCTTTCATTTTACTGCTTGAAAAAAAAAAAGCGGGGTCTTTCATTTCACTGCTTAG